AGGAAGGCAGGAAGGCAGGAAGGCAGGCAGGAAGGCAGGAAGGCAGGAAGGAAGGCAGGAAGGCAGGCAGGAAGGCAGGAAGGCAGGAAGGAAGGCAGGAAGGAAGGAAGGAAGGAAGGAAGGAAGGAAGGAAGGAAGGAAGGAAGGAAGGAAGGAAGGAAGGAAGGAAGGAAGGAAGGAAGGAAGGAAGGAAATAAGGCAGGCAGGCAGGAAGGCAGGCAGGAAAGAAGACATTAGTCTTCTAAATGTATTAGATACACATTGGCTTTAAATTCTTCCCAAGTTCTCTTTCCTAGTTTCCTGCTGCCTCACCTAACAAGCACCCTGAGATAGCATCACTTCCCTTATTCTCAGAGATTCTCAGCTTGATGATGGCACAAAGGGCTGTTCTTTATGGTTTGACTGAAAGATGACCAAATTACCTGAGGAGTTTCTGTAGTCTTCCTGTGAGTATAGAAAATGACACACTCAGCTCAGTCAGCTGCGTCATTTCAGCCATCTTTTCTCCTATGTTAGTGAGCATTCTTTCATCTGTAGCTGTGAACGTCTGCACATTAAATGTTCGTGCTGGCAAGGTCAAGGACATCAACATAGGGAAGTGGACACTGTTGAAGAGTATTTCCAAGTGTTCCATTTCCAAGTGAACATTGTGAACCACTTCCAGTTTGCGCAACAAGGATGGATCGGTGAGGTTTATGATATAGAAGAATTTCTGCAAAGCCAAGTTGTCAGATCTGAATGCCACACAGCAGATCTTCAATGGACAACAGGACTTCTTCAACAGGGCCTGCACTACCAGCTCATAGTTCCGCTCTGTAACAAATAAGTCAATTAGCACATCGATACTGATTTCAAAGGTATCCATATTGCACTGTGTTTGTTGCAGGTAAACCAGCAGTTCTAAACAAAGCTTAGAGAGCAGCTGTGTCCTGGCCCACCTGCCCATTGTCTTCTTACACTGGCAGAACTGAACTTCAACATCCTTTATAGCAGTCAAGTCGACCACCTTCAACCTTTTCACGTAGGGAGTAGAATGATGCAGCACATAGTCTCTCAGTCCTATCAGACAGCTTTCCAAGCACACTGAGCATGTTCTGTGTGTCAGGTCTTCCTGGTAGTCCATGGTGCTTCCCAAAAGTTTTCCCATGTTAAAGTCAGCAAGTGGCCAGTTCTCTACCAAGTCATGGATCACTTGACCTTGCTCCAGTAAATAGCCGGCTTTAAAAAGAAGAGGAAAAAGGTTCGGGGCAACACTGCTGAGACTCTTCCTGGCAAACTCTGCATTTGACACGAATGCTTCAGCACTCATGAATTGGAGAGACTTCATTGTTGCTCTGGACTCCTTGTCACCATGAAGAGTGACTTCTGTATTTAACCGAAGATCCTAGTTTATGGTCTTCTATTTTTATCTGCAGCTGCTGTTTGCTGCTAATGGAAGACTTGCTGGAAACACAGAATCAACAGTCACATGATGATCCTCTGCTTTCTATTTTGGAGTTATACTGTGACTGTGAGATCAGAGAGTAATTTAAACTCTCATTTTTATAACAAGGCTAAATCAATTAAGTACAGACCACTGCCCAGTAGGATCAGTCAGATCAGGACAGCACACAAACATGAGAATATTTCTGTATCTTTCCTATGCCATACAAAAAGACTCTCAGAGTTCCAATTTAAAAGCATAACATGATCTTTCTTCCATGAAATATGATATGCTGCGTATTCATATGCTGATTTCAATGGGGAAGATTACTCAGAGTAAGCACAGAGCTTCTACTAAAAATTATAGCCATAAGGAAAGACTGAGGTTCTGCTGTCACAGCTACACAATGTCCGTCTATTTAGTACTTCCTATAAGAAATAAATAGCTAAATACAGTGGTTCCAGTGGAAGAGAAAAAAGACTAAGAACCTTGGTGACCTTGACACTAGCCCATCATAAGAGACTGAGGGTTAAGTACAAGACAAGATGAACAAGACAGTGCACAGAGCTAGAACTTTCTCGTGTCTGCCCAGGCAACCATCCTGTTGCTTTTCTTTGAGCAATGGATGGTATTTCCTTTCCTGTTATTTGTGAAGTCATCGTTTCATTGTGATACAGAATGGGAAAATATTAAAAAATCTATCTTTTCAGACCAGGAGATAAACCTCTCTCACCCAGCTGTTGCATAAGGAGAGACAATATTTCTTTCTTTCAACATGGCACTTGACTATCAGAGGAAGTTATATTAAATACCTCCTTCATGCTGTCTTCTCACATCTTTTGCTAGGCAACAAGTGGGACAGAGAAGGAGCATACCTTGGAGGTATGAAGTTACTTGGAAACTTTTTTGGTTTGTATTTGTTGGTTTGGATTATTTTTCCGATAAGGAAGGTGAGCGTATGAACAGAGCCTTACATTGAGCTGTGGGACTTTGTGGTACAATTGGGATTTCAGTATATCCTGACTTCTATGAGCTACTGACAGAACTTTGGGTGCAAGACAATCCTATAAACATCTTACTCTTTTTTCCCTCTGTCATTTAGAAAAACTCTGCAATCAATAATTTTAAATAGTTTCTAAGTGCCTGCAGCCCCAACTCATGTCCTCCAGTTCTTCTGTTCCTAAGGTTCCCTTGTTCATCTTCCAGCCTCTGCAGATGATCTCTACATCTTCTGCTCTGCACCTGCCATTCTCCAATGTAATATTTACAAAAATTTCAGAGATAATCTGCTCAGCTGGCAAAACTCACTGTGTTTTAAGATGCCCTTGTTCAAATCCAGAGGAGTACTTGTTAGGTTCATGGACTTGAGCGCCATACCATACCTTGTTTTTGGAGACTAAACTCTTGCTCAGAATTGCATCAGAATCTTACAGTACCATACTGAGTTGAAAAAGTTGCAAATGATGATACCCAATGTAAAAGTATTAAATTTAGTGTTTCTTTTAAAACACTTATGAAAAAGATTTGGAGTCAAACTGTCTTCTCTATCAAAAAAAGCAATATTTTTTTTTCATATACAGAAGCAGAGAAAAACATTTATTGCAGTTCTTTACCTCTATAAATAGAGCTCTATTCTAATAAAAATCTAGGACACTTTATCTTGGATCTTTTAGATCACTTGTCCAAATATACTAGATAAGCAGATAAAAAGTTGTGTATATACTTTTAAAAATCTATTTAAAATTTGAAAGGCAGGAAGGCAGGAAGGCAGGAAGGAAGAAAGGAAGGCAGGAAGGAAGGCAGGCAGGAAGGCAGGCAGGATGGAAGGCAGGCAGGTAGGCAGGCATGAAGGAAGGCATGAAGGCATGAAGGAAGGCATGAAGGCATGAAGGCATGAAGGCATGAAGGCAGGAAGGAAGGCAGGAAGGAAGGAAGGCAGGCAGGCAGGCAGGCAGGCAGGCAGGCAGGCAGGCAGGCAGGCAGGCAGGCAGGCAGGCAGGCAGGCAGGCAGGCAGGCAGGCAGGCAGGCAGGCAGGCAGGCAGGCAGGCAGGCAGGCAGGCAGGCAGGCAGGCAGGCAGGCAGGCAGGCAGGCAGGCAGGCAGGCAGGCAGGCAGGCAGGCAGGCAGGCAGGCAGGCAGGCAGGCAGGCAGGCAGGCAGGCAGGCAGGCAGGCAGGCAGGCAGGCAGGCAGGCAGGCAGGCAGGCAGGCAGGCAGGCAGGCAGGCAGGCAGGCAGGCAGGCAGGCAGGCAGGCAGGCAGGCAGGCAGGCAGGCAGGCAGGCAGGCAGGCAGGCAGGCAGGCAGGCAGGCAGGCAGGCAGGCAGGCAGGCAGGCAGGCAGGCAGGCAGGCAGGCAGGCAGGCAGGCAGGCAGGCAGGCAGGCAGGCAGGCAGGCAGGCAGGCAGGCAGGCAGGCAGGCAGGCAGGCAGGCAGGCAGGCAGGCAGGCAGGCAGGCAGGCAGGCAGGCAGGCAGGCAGGCAGGCAGGCAGGCAGGCAGGCAGGCAGGCAGGCAGGCAGGCAGGCAGGCAGGCAGGCAGGCAGGCAGGCAGGCAGGCAGGCAGGCAGGCAGGCAGGCAGGCAGGCAGGCAGGCAGGCAGGCAGGCAGGCAGGCAGGCAGGCAGGCAGGCAGGCAGGCAGGCAGGCAGGCAGGCAGGCAGGCAGGCAGGCAGGCAGGCAGGCAGGCAGGCAGGCAGGCAGGCAGGCAGGCAGGCAGGCAGGCAGGCAGGCAGGCAGGCAGGCAGGCAGGCAGGCAGGCAGGCAGGCAGGCAGGCAGGCAGGCAGGCAGGCAGGCAGGCAGGCAGGCAGGCAGGCAGGCAGGCAGGCAGGCAGGCAGGCAGGCAGGCAGGCAGGCAGGCAGGCAGGCAGGCAGGCAGGCAGGCAGGCAGGCAGGCAGGCAGGCAGGCAGGCAGGCAGGCAGGCAGGCAGGCAGGCAGGCAGGCAGGCAGGAAGGAAGGAAGGAAGGAGAGAAAAGGAGAGAAAAGGGGGGAGGAGGGGAGAGGAGGGAGGAAGTAGTGGAGCCATCATTGCTAGAAGTGTTGAAAAAATGTGTAGACATGGCACTTCAGGACATGGTTTAGTTGGCACAGTGATGCTGGGTTGACAGCTGGACCTGATGATCTTAGAGGTCTTTTCCAACCTTAATGAAAAGGGAGGCAGTTGCTGGTGCCCTGCTATCCCATAATATGTCTGACTGGTGTCCACCCTCTGTCCTGAGCATGCTCCATGAGCCTTGGTTAGATAGCCCTCATGGTAAAATGCCTGCTGCACAACTGTTAGAAAACTTACCAGAAGCAGTTCACTACCCCACCTCTGCAGAGTACATCCTGTTCTGGCTGCTTAGTTGTTTGAGACAAAATGGTCAAAAGGTTTAAGCAGTCTCACAGCTATTGAATTGAAAATTGCTGTGGTTTTGAATTCTTTTTTGTCTTTATGCACCATCTTTCCCAAGACCAGCAAATACTGATCATAAAAAGTCTGATGTTGTCCTAAACATATAACAGCTTCCAGAAACCCAGATCTGTCTTAACTTTTGTCATGTGAAATCTGTAGAAAGTGTTTTTAGCCAACATGTAGTCCCCACCATCCTAGGAACCCTTTTTTTCTTTATCCCACTATATCCCTACCCATTATCTTGTCCTTATGGGTTTTTGTGAATTCTAACACCCCAGACACCTGGGAATACAGCCAGCATAGAGCATATTTGGGAATTTGCCACCTATCCAACTGAGAAATGTTCAGTAAGTGCTTGGAAGTAAAGAAGGCAGATTAAAAAATAATGTGATTATTTTATATATATATATATATATATTTACTTTAAACCAATCTGGTGAGTTTTTTAAGTGCTCTGAGGGGAGAAAGAGGTCTAAACTGTGAATTTGGGTCTTACCAAGCAGGGTACAGCATTTTCTATTTTAAACAAAACCAATACTAAAGCAAAGCAAAGACTGTTTAAATCAAGGAAGCAGGAAATGCAGAGTGAAGTTTGAAAATTCTGCTTCAGTTTCAACCCTTTTTTCTATGCCTTACAGTAAAGCTATGTTTTATGTACTTGAAAATTATTTATAAAATAATAATACTCACAATTCACTGCAAGCTGGAATTGTTTATAGAATCTCAGGAACAGCAGTTCTGAATCCTATGGGCCACAGCTGCGCTCAGCTGTGAATCAAAGTTCTTCAGTCTGAAAAAGTGACATTTTGAGAATTCCCTGCATTTCTCATCCCAGGAGCTGCAAAAGAAGGTGTTAAGTCAGGACAGTTCATTGGAAGACAAACCTTTATAAGCATTCCTTTAAAAAACAAAACAAAAAAAACCAAAACCTTTCCAGGATACCCTTGAGAAACTGAGGGGTGGAGAGGGAAGAAGGTGTTAAGTGTGTGGAAGTGTTTATGAAACTGCGTATTGATTTTATCTCTTTCAGTTGGAATTTCTTTCAGTCTTCATTGCACAGTGTAGCAGCAGAAAAGAAGTTAGTCTAAGCTCAGTAGAAGTCAATCAACTCATCATCTATGACCCTTTTGTAGTCAACAGAGAAAGGTAAAAGGTCTTCCAGAGCAAGGCAGTGGAGAAGCTCATATTATGCCCTATGAAAACCTTTCTTTCCGCATCGACTGTAGACACCTAGGAAGTCCCTAGACTACTAATTTTGGCATCTGAGTTGATTACGTGGGGCAGGGAGGTTGATTATTGCCTACAGACAGATTTCTCTCCTGGAGGTTGGGGAAGGTTAATAGGTCTGGGTCTTTTTGCAGTGCACCATGTGGGTCTTCCATGTGGTGTTTCCAAGAAGTGCTGTTTGTCCTCTGAAAGACAATGTTACATTTTTCCCTTTGCACTGGGTTGGTGTGGCATGGTTTTGGTGGTGGGAGAGGGACCCCAGGGGTGGCTCCTGTAAGAAGCTGCTAAA